TGTGTGTGTGTGTGTGTGTGTGTGAGAGAGAGAGAGAGAGAGAGAGAGAGAGAGAGAGAGAGAGAGAGAGAGAGAGAGAGAGAGAGAGAGAGTCGCCACGAAATCTGAAAAAGACAACAAGTACTCTATGTATCTGCCCGTGTTCTCACGGGAAGTTCATTCTCATTTTGCACATTTAGAGTGGTGTGGCCACTATGGAGGAGAGAGAGAGAGAGAGAGAGAGAGAGAGAGAGAGAGAGAGAGAGAGAGAGAGAGAGAGTCGCCACGAAATCTGAAAAAGACAACAGGTACTCTATGTATCTGCCCGTGTTCTCATGGGAAGTTCATTCTCATTTTGCACATTTAGAGAGTGGTGTGGCCACTGTGGAGTACTTGTTGCCTTTTTCACTCCACAGTCTGGCTCCAAGTTTGGCGCACCAAACTCTGCGTCAGACTGTCTGACGTCCTCTCTCTCTCTCTCTCTCTCTCTCTCTCTCTCTCACACAATGTCCCACGAGAATGAATCTTCCTCTTTATCGAGGGGGATTCATTCTCGTCGGGAATGTCTGATTTCCTTCTCTTTTTTTGTGCATAATGTTGGTTTTTTTGTGTTTTTTTCTTTTTTTTTCTTTTTCCATGATGTACTACCGGTTGTCCGAGGCTCGGCAATAAAGTCGGAGGCTGGCTGAGATTGCAACTATTGTGTGTGTCTGGAACCTGGCCTCTACAACAACCTGGGCTTCAAAAAAAAAAAAAAAAGAAAGAAACTGTAGTTCTGTATCAGGGAGGCAAGCCGTTTGCTTTTTTGCAGAAATGGAGAAACTGCCTTCCAAGCAAAGGATAGCAGTCTCACCAAGTGGCAAGTGCTGCTCCCCAGAAACAGATTGGAGCCTTTTGCCACGGGCTGTGCTAGTGGAGGTTGCTCGTATCACCCCCACTAGTATACCCAGGTGGATGTTTGCCCCCTCCTTCCCCCCTGGAAAAAAAAAGGGATAGCAGTTGGATTTTTGACTTCATTTGAATTTGTATCTGGTCCTTTAATGGCCGTTAGTTCCTAGTTCCGTTTTGGGGGTGTACATATTACCTGTGTGTGCATAAAGGGTTACATGAGAAACTATTTTGGCTAGGGGCCTGTTATGAAAGAGAGCCTCCTTTTGTGAGTTTCCAGTGTTTGGTTGTTGGCTGTTCTAAACAGCTTTCTGAATGTATTGGGGCGGGCAAGCTATCCAGATACATTCTGATTGTGGCCCACGTAACGGGCCACATTCATTATGCATGCTGTATACTCCATACATGGTACAAGTTTTCGTTTTTGTTTTCAAAGTTCAAACAAGTTATAGGAGGGTAGTCCAGTTGTAATGGTAGCCTCTTGCACGGACCCGTGAAAGCTGGAAGGAGGCCCCCATTTATGAACAGGGTGTAGGGACTGCCCCCGGCCTACTACACTACACAGAGGGGGGGAAAAAGAGAGTTATTTTTCTTCTTGTCCTTTTTCCCTTGTTTTCTGTGGACCATCAACTGGGGGCCGTTTTTTTTCCCGTTATGAACCAACCTAGTATATTCTTCTCTCATACCTTTCTCGGCCTTTTGGCTAAGATAGATCAAGTGTAGTATCTGTTCTGATCAGTTTAATATCTTTTTTTTTTTTTTTACAGCAAAAAGGGGCCCAGAGGGCTTCATCATTATACCGCAAAACAGAACAACAATTGAGGCCGGGAATCCCTCACAGCACAACCCGGAAAAAAATACCAACACTGGGGGCACAGCCCAGCTCAGACTGGGTGTCGGGATTAACATGTCTGGGAACAGAAATGGCCAAACACAGACCGCTGTCCCGACTTATCCACAACCCTCAGTTTAATATCTGATCCGTGGTCCATCGGGCCACATTTAAAAAATAAAATTAAAAAAATCTCAATTTCACCGTTCAGTACGTACCTATCACCTCCCCTAAGCCTATACAAGGGACCTTTACAAGCATAGTTGCTTCTCACAATCAAGGGGATGCAGTAGGGCGGGGGGCAACTGGCGACTTTTTCTAGCAGGTAGCAGGCCGACCATAGTCTCCCCCCAAAAATGGAAAAGAATTCCGCCACGTGTCAGAAGCGGAGAGGAACCTCATTCTTAGTGGGATAGGGTCGGCGACTTCGTACTGCACCCATCCTAGGATCTTGATGGGAAGTCAATTCCCTCGCAAGAGGGCAATCAATGCTGCTCATCATTAATGATTGACCATAATTGGCTCCTGCTTTGTAATTGGGATGCTGGGCCCAGTTCCCCCCCCCCCCTCAAAAAAAAAAAAGAACAAAAAAAGAAACATTCTGCCATCCGGAAAAAAAAAAAAACAATTGAGAAAACATCCTACCATGGCCAATCTAGGCGCCGGGTCATTGGCCTCGCTCCACCGCTCTCTTTACACGACGCGGGTGCTCTGCTGTGGGCAGTCGACGGAGGAAGGGCCACGATGAGGGTGCTGCACTCTGGGCGATTGACGGAGGAAGGGCCGACAACGGTAGAAAGTAGGTGAGGATCCCAAGTAGAGGGGGGAGGCAGAATGCGCTGCAGAAGGGAGGCGGATTTGGGGGACGGGGACGGGAATGGGAAGAGGAGGATAAAGACAGCCGGGAAGTGCTGCATTTTCACATACACAGGCTTCAGCACGACCGCACTGGCAGGATCATGAGAAGAGACAGAGTTTTGGGGGAGCAGAGGAAGAGAAAGAGAGACCAAGCCGGACTCAGGAGAAGCAGAGCTCAAGAGAGAGGGCAGCCAGAGAGAGAGAGAGAGCTGGAAAGAAAGCGAGGACTGGCATAGTGTTTTCACAGCCTGAGGAAGAGACACGCCAGGCATACACGTCGGAAGCGTCGTCATCATATGAAGGATGATTCTAATCACGTGAGACGGGGGACGCGCAAGAACGAGCTGGAGAGAGAGAGAGAGAGAGAGAGAGAGAGAGAGAGAGAGAGAGAGAGAGAGAGAGAGAGAGAGGGAAGCTCCGGCGACGGACACAGGAACAGATGAGATCTTCCAGACTGAGGAAGCTCGGCCTTATCATCAGCCGTAGTTGTTCGTTATATTGTTCTCTATTTTAGCAACGGCGAGTTTTTTTTTTTTTTTTTTTTTTTTTTTTTTTTTTGCTCTCTATTTTAGCATCTGGGCGCCCGAAGGATGATTCTGGTTACATTAGGCACAGGAATAGAGGACGTATCAGGGCGTAGTCACACTAGCACGTTTTCAACTCAGCTCTGGATGTGATTGCGGTCAGATGCATGCAGGTCCGGCCGTAATTAAGGTTCGATACATTTAGGAAAAAAAAGTGGCAGTGTGAGAGTGCCCTCAGTGAGTGAAAAAAAGATTGGACGCATCGTCCGCATGTAGACATCCAGCGACGATCATGCATGTCATCCAATGGGAGTTATGCTCACCTGGGATGAAAGGCGAGCCGGCTGGAGAGCGAGCAGGCAAAGCTAGAGGAAGAGAGGAAGTCTTAGAGAGTGAGGGAGAAGAAGGCAAGTAATAAATAGCAGCTGCACATTAAGGACAATGGACAGAAGTTGCTGGAGCCTGGAGGGATCGTGCAGAGAAGGAGAGAGAAAGAGCGGACGTCCTTGAGAGTGATGCCCGGAGAGAGAAAGAAGGCGAGGGCAGAGAAAGAGCCGACGTCTTATTAAGCAGAATTGCGGAGACGGAAAGAGAGGACCTCGCTCCGAGAGAGCAGTGCGGTTTCAGATCAGTGATCAATCAATGAATGCTCGCCCAAGACAAGAAGGGATATAAGCTGCAGTATCCCCCATCATTCCCAAGGGCAATATCTGCCACAGCTTCTCGGGCAAGATACAATCACTTCCTGAGAAACACAACAGAGTTAAGATTTTTTTTTTTTTTTTTTTTTTCAGATGAGGTTATAGTCTCGTCCTGATAGTGAAGGATGACAGTCCCGAACAAATAAAAGTCAAGATATAGTCTCTTCCAGATTACGAGGGGGATGACAGTCTTGAGGGGTATAAACCCAGGTTGGGTACTGAGGGGGTGGGGGGGGTGCGCCCGGAAAATTGCCGAGGTTGGGGGGGTCGGGGAGTCCCGTGAGATCAGGAGGTTTGGCGGAGGTATGAAAGAAGAAGCAAAGAGAGAGAGAGAGAGCTTTCGGCAGTGTGACTAGGCTGGTCGTCAACTTAGAACAAAGAGAATTTCGAAGTAAAAGACAAATCTGTTTTTTTTCCCTTTCTTCTTCTTCTTCTTCTTCTTCTTCTTCTTCTTCTTCTTTTTTTTTTTTTTTTTTTTTTTTTTTTTTTTTTTTTTTT